TTTTTTTTTTTTTTTAAATGACCGATCGTTTCGCTAGATAAGACCCTTATTCATCGTCTGGTATCATTTAAAGCCCTTTGAAGCTGCAATGAAACTGTAATTTTGACCTTCAACCGTTTGGAGTCCATTGAAGTCAACTATATGGTGAAAAATCCTGGAATGTTTTCATCAAAAACCTTCATTTCTTTTCGACTGAAGAAAGAAATACATAAACATCTTGGATGACATGGGGGTGAGTAAATTATCAGGAAATTTTAATTTGAAAGTGAACTAATCCTTTAATGTGAAGGAATAATTGAGAGAAAGGAGCTGAAACTGCTCGATAAAGAAAATGAGAACCCGCCTTGACGCGCTGGTCCCCACCACAAAGAAATAGATATAGCAGAAAGAAAATATTCACTTTCACCGAGAATATTTTCCCCCCCAAAACAAAAAGCAGCCGTGTTCGGCGACGTACCTAAAATGCGGCTCGTCCGTGAACAGTTAAGCGGCCACTCTTACGAGGATCTGCTGAGGATAGCTTCCAATAAGGATCTTCACGGGGAAGAGATTGAGCCGCGTTTCCACCAAAATTACCCGGAACAATTGTACCACAAACTTTTTTTCCCCAGGAACTTTTTTCCCCCCAGACCGGTTGCTCTCTGCATTTCCATCGCGGTCTAAAGTACCGAGAAGATTAGGCAAATAGTCTGGTGACGTAGGTCTGTGCGCGTTTCAATACCAAGTACGCAAATTTCGGACTTGCATCCTCGGTAGTTCGGACTTCGCGAGTTCGACTCAGGAGTGTGAACTCCCGCGGACAGTCACAAGTAGCCAAGGTGCCAAGGTGAGTTGGCTGGTCGTATTTACAATAAGACGAAATATATCAAACACCACTGCCCCTTTTCATTTTCATTTAAACATATTAATAGCCGCAGAAATGTTCAGGTAATGTACATGGCCTACATTACAATTAGCCGAGTAGAGGCTGCTCTCGTCGGGATACATGAGCACTGAGCGCCGGCTACTGGGCTGATCGCGTGGAGCTCCTGTTTCCGAAATTCCTGTTCCTGAAGCACATTTTCAATTAGGCGCTGTTTTTATAAATAAACCGCAGATTTGAGTTTTAAACAACTACATTCTCGCCTGAAATACTTTTAAAACTACATTTCATGACACAATAACAGTAATATAAAAAAATGCAAATGGTGGTTGAAATACAATGCTGTGTGAACTCAACCAATCAGCATGTTCAGCGCTCAAGTCCCGCCCCCGAAAGGCGGGGACCTTTGAAAAAGTACTACCTCGGGAGCAGGGACTTTCTGAGGGGCAATTTTTTTACCCAGAACTTTATTTAGATCCTGGTTCCTGCGGTGGAAACACACCAAGTACAGGCCCAAAGTCCCTAGTTCCGGGGGAAAGTTCCTGCAGTGGAAACGCGGCTAACGAGAATGAAGTAGGGACCGCTAGCAGCCCAGGATTGGTCACGCCCGAGGCGATTCCCATAGTGAGATACCGAACGATGTTTGAAGAGAACAGAGAGGTACTGCTCCATACAGGCTCTCATGACAGTTTATGTCTTTTCACTCCTCATTTGTCTTGTGATTTTTTTCTCTCTCAGTTATTAATATTACTATTGGCTTTACATTATAAAGTCAGCTGTCATTTTATTTTTGCGCGAGGCACTTTGTGGTCGGACACTTGGCACAGCCCTTGCGACGGATCTGCTGGAAGAAAATAAAAGACGCAGTGGTAAATTTCACCAGATGTAGGTCAGTCTGACTGAGTCTATGGGTTCACAGCTGTGATTTTGTGACTGTTTTTGGTCTTTTATTTAGTGTTTAGTGCCGTGTTATGACTTTGCTTGTTTTAGTTTCGGTTTTGCTGAATCCTCCAAAACGGAAGCATGCATAAAATGGGTTTTTTTTTTTTTTATGTAAGTATTCTATAAATGTTTCAAATGTTTCGTTTGTCCGTTTGTCTTTATCATTACGTTCTAGCAGGGGTTATTTTTTTCACAATTTAAACCATGTCGAACTGAGTTGTTTAATTACTTTTCCCATATTAACAGGGCGTTGGAACAAATGTTCTCAGCCTCAGTTCACGACAGTTTTAAGAATTTTAAACAATATACGATATGCTTTTAAGAATACTGGATATAATTACTGAATATTAAGGATTAAGCATCACTTTTATTAAACTTATCCGTCCATCTTTTTAATAATAGAACTTTAATTAGCGCTATTAGCGCTTTAATTAGCGCTAAATGTGGCATCTATGTATTCAAATGGTCATAATAAACAGAAGAATTTTATGTTAATGCTTGTGTGTGCGATGTATCATTCAGTGACGTTACACCGGTTAGCGCAGCACTGGGCGTCTGAAGTAACTAAAGGGAGTGATGACGTAACTCGAAGTACCCCAGCTGATACGTGAAGTGTCTCATTCACTTATTTGTCGGGCTTAAACAAACTTGTCGTTACTACAACTATAAAACTAAAATCTACCTACCGAGCAACTTGCAGATGGCAGAGCACTGAATAATATTATTCCATAAAACAAAAAGGAAAATTGTGAACTAATGTTATAGCTATTTAGCCAAATTTTAAATAGTCTATTCTGTTTCATCTTTAAAACCCCTTTTCACATTCATCTTGATTGAGGGGGCTGAATTAAGGGGGAAATCAACCTGCATGTTACATCAAAGCAAACCAATGTTCTACAACTGAAAGCATGAATTTACTAAAATAAAATACATGTCACTTGCTCATTTGAATCAAGCAAAAACGGCTTGATCTGAAAAGAGCTGTTTTTGACAGGGTAAAAAAATGTGTTTTTTACACTACCATTGAGAAATTTTAACCAAACTATGTTACAGACTTTTCATTAAGACCCTAAAGACTCATATCAACTTGTGGAAAATGGGCATCATATGACCCGTTTAAAATGAAAATATTTTAAAGGGGTGGTTGATTGCGATTTCACTTAAACAAAAAACATAGGCCTACCATTAAAAGCCGTGCTTGCACAGGTTCTGCACGATCCTCTTCAATAATATCCTCTGCTTCTCAATCGGGCTCAAACTGATAAGCGATATTAAAGACACCGTTGTTTACAATACAACCAGAGCACATGCGCTGAGGTGAGGGGCGGGACGTTTAGACGCCGTTTATCCAATCACAACACACTGGGCTAGCTAACCAATCAGATCCCATCGCCTATTTCTGAGGGAGGGGCTTCATAAAAGAAGGAAATGATCAGCCCGTTTCTCAGAGAGGGGACAGAGCGGTGTGGAATAAAGTTAAATTATGTGAAAAATAATGAATTTTTAAAAAAACGAAGCATTAGCACATGTTACACTGCACCCCATAAATACAATCAAGCCTAGAAAAAACCCAGTGAACCACCCCTTTAATCTTAATTCAAGTGATGAAGGATTTTCAAAGTCTGACAGAAATCAGTGTTGAGTACTAGCATACCGTAAGGTTAACCCTGCCTGATTTAAATGTTTTAAAATGACTGACAATGGAAAACAGAAATTAGAAATTTAGAAAATTAATCAAAAGTGATCAGTTACATTAATAAAATAATTGAAATAGTTACACTACTTATTACATTTTAAATAGGGTAACTTGTAATCTGTAACCTATTACATTTCCAAAGTAACCTTCCCAACACTGTTCACTTTTATGTGTCCTCTTTCTGTCTGTGTTCATACAGTGAAATGGCAGAAGCCAGTATTTCATGTGCTGAGGATCAGTTCTGCTGTCCAGTGTGTCTGGATCTGCTGAAGGTTCCAGTGACGATTCCCTGTGGACACAGTTACTGTATGAGCTGCATCTCAGACGTCTGGGATCAAGAAGATCAGAAAGGAATCTACAGATGTCCTTTGTGCAAACAAACCTTCAGTCCAAGACCTGTTTTAGGTAAAAATGTGGTGATTGCTGAAATGGTGGAGAAACTGACGAAGACGAGACTCCAAGCTGCTGGTCCTGCAGTTCATCACACTGAATCTGGAGATGTGCAGTGCGACTCCTGCACTGGAATTAAACAGAAAGCTGTTAAATCGTGTCTGGAGTGTCAAAGCTCTTACTGTCAAAATCATCTTGAACAGCACGAGAATCTCTTCAGAAGTAAAAAACACAATCTGATGGACGCCACTGGACGACTGCAGGAGATGATCTGCTCTCAGCATGATAAAATGCTGGAAATGTATTGCCGTACTGACCAGCGATGTATCTGTATGATGTGTTTGGTGGATGAACACAAAAGTCATGACACTGTATCAGCTGTAGCAGAACGGAAAGAGAAACAGGTACTGCTCCCTACTAATCTCATGGCAGTTCATGTTGTTTCTCTCCTCATTTGTTATGTGATTTTTCTCTCAATTAGGGAAACTGATGTGAGTAATTGGGTTTTGATGTGCAGTATTTGAACTCATACAGCCACTAAAGGATTTACTCTAAAATATAATAAGCATTACATTTGTTTGGGATAGCTATTTTTTTAAAGAAACTTGCTTTCATCAAGGATGCATTAAATTAATCAAAAGTGACAGTAAAGACATTCATAATGTTACAAAAGATTTCTATTTCAATTAAATGTTGTTCTTTTAACCTTCCTATTCATCAAAGAATCACGGTTTTCAACATTGCTAATAATCAGAAATGTTTCTCGAGCAGCAAATCAGCATATTAGAATGATTTCTGAAGGATCATGTGACATTGAAGACTGGAGTAATGATGCTGAAAATTCAATACTACACATTACTGTTTTTATTATATCTTTGATCATATAAACGCAGCCTTAGTGAGCAGAAGAGACTTCTTTACAAAAACATTAATTTATTAATTTAATCATATATCTGTTTCCTGCAGAGATATTTTGAGGATACACAGAGAAATATCCAGAAAATAATCCAGCAGAAAGAGAAAGTTTTTCAGGAGCTGAGAGAGGCTGTGAAGTCTCATAAGGTGAGTTTGGAAAACAAGAAAGGTTTAAGTCTTAATTTGGACTTTCCTCCAGTGCTGGAGCTCTTATAGTCCCACTGAAGCCACTGTGTGATTGTAATGTGTCTATCAGCGCTCTGCACAGACAGCAGTGGAGGACAGTGAGAGGATCTTTACTGAACTCATCCGCTCCATTGAGAAATGTCGCTCTGAGGTGAAGCAGCTGATCAGACATCAGGAAAGAGCTGCAGTGAGTAAAGCTGAAGAACTACTGGAGCAACTGGAGCTGGAGCTCGATGATCTGAGGTGGAGAGACGCTGAGCTGAAGCAGCTTTCAGAAACAAAGGATCATGTTCATTTCCTCAAAGTATTTACATTTATTCACTAATTGGTTATTTAGCAGGTATAACAGCAATCTTCTCAAACATACAGGATGAATAATGTTACCAAGTTTCTCTACTAACAGGGAGTTTTTGTTTTTGTGTCTGTAGAGTTTGTCGTCTGTATCTTTCTCTGAATCTACAGATGGCTTCACGGTCACTAATCATTCTTTTGATGATGTAGTGAAATCAGTCTCTCAACTCAGAGACAAACTGCAGCAATTCTCCATAGATGAGGCAGAAAATATATCTAAAAGAGGTAAATTCTTATTTTCAGAAAAGAGTTCATTAAATATATATAAAAAAAACAATTTTTCCAGTGACGATTCCCTGTGGACACAGTTACTGTATGAGCTGCATCTCAGACGTCTGGGATCAAGAAGATCAGAAAGGAATCTACAGATGTCCTTTGTGCAAACAAACCTTCAGTCCAAGACCTGTTTTAGGTAAAAATGTGGTGATTGCTGAAATGGTGGAGAAACTGACGAAGACGAGACTCCAAGCTGCTGGTCCTGCAGTTCATCACACTGAATCTGGAGATGTGCAGTGCGACTCCTGCACTGGAATTAAACAGAAAGCTGTTAAATCGTGTCTGGAGTGTCAAAGCTCTTACTGTCAAAATCATCTTGAACAGCACGAGAATCTCTTCAGAAGTAAAAAACACAATCTGATGGACGCCACTGGACGACTGCAGGAGATGATCTGCTCTCAGCATGATAAAATGCTGGAAATGTATTGCCGTACTGACCAGCGATGTATCTGTATGATGTGTTTGGTGGATGAACACAAAAGTCATGACACTGTATCAGCTGTAGCAGAACGGAAAGAGAAACAGGTACTGCTCCCTACTAATCTCATGGCAGTTCATGTTGTTTCTCTCCTCATTTGTTATGTGATTTTTCTCTCAATTAGGGAAACTGATGTGAGTAATTGGGTTTTGATGTGCAGTATTTGAACTCATACAGCCACTAAAGGATTTACTCTAAAATATAATAAGCATTACAGTTGTTTGTGATAGCTATTTTTTTAAAGAAACTTGCTTTCATCAAGGATGCATTAAATTAATCAAAAGTGACAGTAAAGACATTCATAATGTTACAAAAGATTTCTATTTCAATTAAATGTTGTTCTTTTAACCTTCCTATTCATCAAAGAATCACGGTTTTCAACATTGCTAATAATCAGAAATGTTTCTCGAGCAGCAAATCAGCATATTAGAATGATTTCTGAAGGATCATGTGACATTGAAGACTGGAGTAATGATGCTGAAAATTCAATACTACACATTACTGTTTTTATTATATCTTTGATCATATAAACGCAGCCTTAGTGAGCAGAAGAGACTTCTTTACAAAAACATTAATTTATTAATTTAATCATATATCTGTTTCCTGCAGAGATATTTTGAGGATACACAGAGAAATATCCAGAAAATAATCCAGCAGAAAGAGAAAGTTTTTCAGGAGCTGAGAGAGGCTGTGAAGTCTCATAAGGTGAGTTTGGAAAACAAGAAAGGTTTAAGTCTTAATTTGGACTTTCCTCCAGTGCTGGAGCTCTTATAGTCCCACTGAAGCCACTGTGTGATTGTAATGTGTCTATCAGCGCTCTGCACAGACAGCAGTGGAGGACAGTGAGAGGATCTTTACTGAACTCATCCGCTCCATTGAGAAATGTCGCTCTGAGGTGAAGCAGCTGATCAGACATCAGGAAAGAGCTGCAGTGAGTAAAGCTGAAGAACTACTGGAGCAACTGGAGCTGGAGCTCGATGATCTGAGGTGGAGAGACGCTGAGCTGAAGCAGCTTTCAGAAACAAAGGATCATGTTCATTTCCTCAAAGTATTTACATTTATTCACTAATTGGTTATTTAGCAGGTATAACAGCAATCTTCTCAAACATACAGGATGAATAATGTTACCAAGTTTCTCTACTAACAGGGAGTTTTTGTTTTTGTGTCTGTAGAGTTTGTCGTCTGTATCTTTCTCTGAATCTACAGATGGCTTCACGGTCACTAATCATTCTTTTGATGATGTAGTGAAATCAGTCTCTCAACTCAGAGACAAACTGCAGCAATTCTCCATAGATGAGGCAGAAAATATATCTAAAAGAGGTAAATTCTTATTTTCAGAAAAGAGTTCATTAAATATATATAAAAAAAACAATTTTTAATTTCCACGTGACATGAGAATTTAACTGCAGATGTTTTTTGGTGTCTGTAGTGAAAATCATCCAGGTCATTCAGACTCCTGAATATCAGGCCAGAGAGGAGTTCCTACAATGTGAGTTACTATGAAAACACAGTTTAACATCCAGTATAAAGTATAAAATCCAGTCTAATGGTGTTTATTCCATTTTCACAAAATTAATTATTTAATTCATTTCAATACTGATTTGTTTTCTTTGTTGTTTTTAAAACACATGGGCTGCAACAAATAAAGGAAAATGATCATAAAAAAATGTAATTATGGATTAGTTGCATCTGTGAGACTGAATGAAAAACTCTATTAATGATGGATCCATTAGTCACTTTACAGTACAAACTCTTAATGCAATAACAATTTTGACTAAAACAATTAATTTCGATAGAATCTATGTGGTGTCACAGCTTTTTTGCAAAATAAAGATAGGTACAGGATCTAAACGCAGCAAGTAGTGATTATATATTAAAAAAAAAGAACAGAACAACCAAAACATGCAACAAGAACTGACAAAGAACAGAAGAAAACAGAGGGCTTAAAGGTGCAGTAGATGATTGTCTTCAGAAACATTTTTTGTTATGCTGGTTGAAAGTCTCTTCACATCCCGATAGCAATCATTAAGTGGTCTAAATATATTTATATGTATTATATTATATTGTATTATATTTATATATTCTGTGGAAGGCATAGGACCAAGAAATGTTCGTCCAATCAAAATTCCGAGCATTTTTTATTGACTTTCCTACCTGCCTGTCAACATGTATTTGTATACCTCTGCGCACCCGGTTTGCGCAGACAGGATACATCATCAGCGTGTTCACGTACGCTGTGCAGACAGAGCGAGAATGGCAGGCAAGCATCAACAACCTGATCTTCCTTCCTGGTATTGTAGTACTGTTACTAACTGTACTATAAAGTTTTCTCACCAGTGAATGACACATGATGTATTGTAGTAATGTTGTCTCTGGTCGTCTGGTCTGTATGCGTATATGCCTTCAGGGGGCGTGGCTTTGGACGGCAATTTGCAGGGAGGGTGGGACGTTCGCTTTCAGTGTTATCAGGCTAAAGTTAGCATTTTCCAAGATGTCCTACTGCACCTTAAAATCAGGGGTGTCCAAACTCAGTCCTGGAGGACTGGTATCCTGCAGAGTTTAGCTCCAGCGTGGCTTTGGACGGCGATTGCAGGAAGGGTGGGACGTTCGCTTTCAGTGTTATCAGGCTAAAGTTAGCATTTTCCAAGATGTCCTACTGCACCTTAAAATCAGGGGTGTCCAAACTCAGTCCTGGAGGACTGGTATCCTGCAGAGTTTAGCTCCAACTTGCCTCAACACACCTGCCTGGAAGTTTCTAGTGTGCCTAGTAAGAGCTTGATTAGCTGGTTCAGGTGTGTTTGATTAGGGTTGGAGCTAAACTCTGCAGGACACCGGCCCTCCAGGATGTGTTTGGACACCCTTGCTTAAATACACTGACACAACCCAATCAAACAGGTGCAGACACTAATCAAACCAATGAGTAACTATAGAAACTAATAAATACAGACAAATGAAACTGATCTAGAAATGTACTCGGTTACTAACATAACCTCGGTTCCCCTGGGAAAATTCCTTTTTCTCCGATTACTGAAGCCTTTTTAATAACGCAGTGTAACTGCACGGCCATTTGTTCATGCAGTAAATAAGAAACAAACCAGTGGCGAGGCAGCGGAGCCACACGAGCCTATGGCCACGAAGCCTGCCAGAGCCAGCCGAAATGGGCGGGGTCATCTGGCTATAAAAGTGGGCGTTCTGGCATAGGATCCTTAGGTTAATTAAACTGAAGCAATGACACTGAGTCGTGCAGCTACATAGCATGGCTAGCAATGCAGTACTCGTTCCCATAATTCGGGGAACAGAGGTTACTTTAGTAACAGAGTACGTTCCCTATTGAAACTTCACTCGTACTGTGTCGCTAGACACGATGGGGAACCAGTACAATCACGCTGTGCTATGATAGAGGAACAACTGATACCTGAACTTGCCTCAAGCATCTAAGGGGCCCAGAACAAGTGTGCCGCACTAGCCTTGAAAAGTGAAGCCGGAACGTTTCGATCGCCCCCAGGTGGCTGGTCCCAGTATAGGTCATAAACCCCACCCTCTCCACGTAATCTAATGGGACGTGAGACAAACTAAATAATTAAATTTCACTTAAAATAATATTTTTTCAAATATGGCTTTTGTCATTTTATGTAGTTTTATTTATCACGCTGATGTAAGTTCAAGTGTTTGTTATTTAAATAAGTTTGGTTTTAGTTAGTTATGTGATGCTATAAAAATGGGTGTGTTAACATCATGATTGACAGCTGAGATTGACGGCTTCTCTGAGTGAACTGAGGCGCAAACTGACTTTTCGGGATCTTCAGGAAGAGATTGGAGTTGTATTAACCTTATCTTAACACAAGCCTCTTATACGACAATCAGCAGACAAAAATTGGAGCAGTCAGGCTAATTAAAAAACGTTCAGGGGCGTGTGCTTGCGATCAACTGTGCAGGAGTGTGGGCGGGATGCAGCTCCACTTTACTCACTACTGCGCAGACTCGGGTTCCAAGTTCACTACTGCGCAGACTCTGGTCCCAAATCAGCGCAATATGGCCACGCCCTCTTGGGACATTAGCAGCTTCACTTTTCTTCAGTGGAAGAGAATGAAGGTGCGTCGTCCATCTTTTTTTAACAGTCTTTGCCCAGAGGGACCAAGTATAGCAGGGTAAGCCCCGCAGCAGGCAAAGAGGGCTAAACTCACAAAGGTCAGCCCGGCCTTGGATAATCGTTCCAAGAAAAACTCTGTACAGCCTGAGCACTTAAGGAGGGCCAAGTGCATACAAGAAGTAAGGCAAAGGCCTGAAGCACTGGTCCTGCCTTGTGGCAGGTGCGTGTCAACTCACTATACAGAAAGGACTCTGCCCTGTAAGGCCGGGACGTCCAGGTTGTAAAACTTGGCAAAGGTGGACCGCGAGGCCCAGCCAGCCACTGCACAGATTTCTGCAATAGACACACCACTAGACCATACCAAGGATGAGGCTACGCCTCTAGTGGAGTGGGCTCTTACTCCAGTGGGGCATTGCAGGCCCAAGGAGGAGTATGCTAGCGCAATCGTGTCAACTATACATCGGGAAAGTCTCTGCTTCGTGACTGGATGCCCTTTGGCATTGCCACCGAAGCATACAAAGAGTTGTTCTGACTGCCTGAACATAGTGGAACGCTCAATGTAAAAAACTCAGAGCCCTGACAGGGCAGATATTTTAACTCCTGGTCATCGTCTGAGGGAGGAAGTGCAGAGAGTATTATGACCTGCGCTCTGAACGGTGTGGAGAGCACTTTAGGTATGTAACCATGCCTTGGCTTCAGGACGACCTTGGGGTCGCTGGGCCCGAACTCAAGGCAGGTAGGGCTCACAGGGAGCGCCTGCAAGTCTCCTATTTGCCTGGCCGATGCTGAAAGGGTGGCCTTTAATGACAGGGGCTGGAGGTCGGTCGAATGTAGTGGCTCAAAGGGGGGACTCCTAAGAGCCCTTAGGACCATAGGCAGGTCCCATGTAGGGACAGTAACGGGGAGAGGCAGATTCAGCCCCCTAGACCCTTTTAAAAAGCGAACAACCAAGCTGTTCCTGACCACCAACTGGCCAGCTATAGGAGCGTGAGAAGCTGCTGCTACATAGACCTTGAGCGTGGAAGGGGAACTACCCTTATCCAACAACTCTTGGAGAAAGGACAATATCACTGATATGTCGCAGGAGGCTGGGTCTTTGCCGCGGGCTCTGCACCAAGTGGAGAAGACCAACCATTTAAGGGCATAGAGACGTCTTGTAGACGGGCCTCTAGCCTGTGAAATAGTATTTAAGACGCTCTCGTGGAGGTCTGTAGGCTCCCATTGAGAGGCCAAAAGTGCAGAGCCCACAGCTTGAGTTGGGGGTGCCAGATCATTCTGTTCAACTGAGAGAAGAGGTCCCGTCTCAGGGGAATGGGCCATGGGGTTACTATGAGCGGCAGAGACAGCTCTGAGAACCAATGCTGGTTCCTCCAGAGCGGGGCCACTAGGAGGACCTTGTGTTTGTGCTCCCTGATTTGTCTGATTACCAGAGAGATCAGAGCGATTGGGGGAAAAGCGTACAGGAGAAGGTTGGGCCAGTTGTGGGCCAACGCATCCCTGTCCTTTGTAAAATAAGTTGGGCAATGAGAGTTGTCTTTTGAGGCGAAGAGGTCGACCTCTGCCCTTTGAAAGATTTCAAATTCCCAAATTCTCTGAACCATTTGCGGATGAAGCTTTCACATGGAGAGGACATTACTCCGGGATAGCATGTCTGCTCCTTAGTTCAATATGCCCGGCACATGCATTGTTCTCAGCGAACACAAGTTGAGATGTGCCCTTTCCAAGAGGCGTTCTACCAAACTGAAGAGGTGTTTCGAGGTGAGCCCGTCATGGCAATTTATATAGGACACCACTGTCATGCTGTCCGAGTGGACCAGAACGTGGTGTCCCCTTAGGTCTGGTAGGAAGGTCTGAAGGGCTCGACACACTGCCAGCATTTCTAGGCAGTTGATTTGTAGCCGACCTTCCTCATCCGACCAGGAGCCGAAAGCCGGTCTGCCTTCACACAGAGCTCCCCAACCTGTGTTGGACGCATCTGTCGAGGTAACCTTCCTTCTACAGACCATTCCCAGAGCCATGTCTTGTTCTACCCACTGAGGGCTCTTCCAAGGGGCCAGGGATGCCACGCAGGCCTGGTCCACCTTGATACATAAGCGTCCATGACGCCAGGTATGGGACAGAACTCTGGGTTTCAGCCAGTACTGTAGGGGAAGTAGGCCCAGCTGTAGTACCGGAGATTTCTGAAACATCCTGAGCTGAAGAGAGGCTCCAACTTTGAAGGAGGCTGCGAGCTGCTGTATGGCCAGGGCAAGCTCTGGCGTGACTACAGCCCTCATTTGGACTGAGTCGAAAACTGCTTCCAGGAATGAAATCCGTTGGCTGGGAGACAGTGAGCTCTTGGCAAAATTGACCCTGAGCCCCAGGCACTCCAAGTGGCTGAGAAGAAGGGACCTGTGGGATACTAGCTCGGCCTCTGACTGGGCTAGGACGAGCCAGTCATCGAGGTAGTTCAGAATGCGAATTCCCATCTGTCTCAGAGGGGAAAGAGCTGCATCCATGCACTTTGTGAACGTACGAGGAGCTAGAGACAGTTCAAAGGGAAGGACCGTGTATTGATATGCCACTCCCTCAAAGGCAAATCTTAGGAATCACCTGTGATGGGGCTATCTGGATGTGAAATTAAGCATCTTTCAGGTCCAGAGAGAAGAGCCAGTCCCCTGGGCATATTTGCGAGAGGATCTACTTCAAAGTAGTCATCCTAAACGGCCGTTTCATAAGGGTGTGATTCAGGAGCCTGAGGTCGAGGATGGGACGGAGACCGCCATCCTTTTTGTGGACAAGGAAGTAACGGCCGTAGAAGCCTGACTCGCTCTGAGCTGGCGAAACAGTCTCCACTGCTCCTTTTGCCAGTAAATTCATCACCTCAGAGTGCAGAACGTGTGTGTCTTTGCTCCCTACCGAGGTGGGAACAACGCCGCTGAATTGCAGGGGACTTCGAACATTGTCTCCAGCACCCGGAACTAAATGGGGTGTTTGGAGGCATAAACGAGGCTGTTTAGGGGTTGGTCCGGCAACAGCAAGAGTTTGCACCCTCCTCTTCCTGTCCAGTGGATCAGGACGACGTCTGAGGTGCAGGGTCCAGCGCTATCTTGGGCCGGGGTCACTGACGTTTCGGAAAGGGATAGCGTCTTGCAGAGCGGGAGTGCTGACGAGGCTCAGGCTTTGGAGTAGGCTGAGCAGGCACAGGCTTCGTGGGTTGCTGGGTCGGCGCAGGCTTGGGGCGACTGGAAGCAGCTGCAGAGCTGGAACGCTTGGGCAGGAAGTGTTGCATCGCTTGGAATGACTTCTGTGCTGCGGTGAAGCATTCTGCGAAGCCCTCGTTGGCAGGTCCAAACAGACCAGTGGGGGAAACCAGGGAGTCAAGGAAAGGGACCTTGTCTGTGTCCTTAATTTCTGTAAGGTTCAGCCATAAGTGGCGCTCCAACACCACTAAGATGGCCATTGATCTGCCAATGGCCTGAGCTGTTGTCTTGGCTTGCGCCAACGTGAGCTCATTTGCATCCCAGCGCTGAGTTCTTCTGCCCTTCTTGGGAGGAAGAAAGCGGGAGGGTGTGAGGGGTGGAGTCGCTCTCCGAAAAGAAAGTGATCCGCGAGCGCAGAGAGGCGAGACACATGTTCTTGCAATGAGAACAGTCCATCTCCATGAGCGCGGCTTCCGCATGGGATTTCCCCAGGCAGGAGATGCACTCGCTGTTGCTGTCATCAGCATGCAGGGGAGCCCAGCACGAGCCACAATAACGGCACGGCATTTGAATCAACGGCGGCGGAAATTTGCTCTTTGAATTTGCACTTTAGAACTCGCTGGATGGCGGCAGGGGATGTGCTGAAACAGTTGCTGTGGACGCTGAAGGCAGCTTGTGAGCGGCGAGACGCATGGAGCTAGGAAAAGCTGAGCAGGTCACTGAATCGTCTCGATCCGCTGCGAGGCGCGTCTATGGCAAGCTCCGCTGCCTCGCCATTGGTTCGTTTTTTATTTACAGCATGAACCAATGGCCGTGAAGTTATACTGTGTTAATAAAAAGGCTTCAATAATCAGAGAAAATGAGTTTTCCCATCGTGTCTAGTGATGCAGTACGAGTGAAGTATCAAAAGGGAACAGTGAAAACTCCAAACCAAACACAATACACAGACAATCCATTACATGTGGATTGACAAGAAATTTAGGTTTACATTTTACATAGGGGTGTAATGATACACGTATTCGTATTGAACCGTTCGGTACGAGGCTTTCGGTTCGGTACGCATTACAAACCGAACGATTCGTTGGACTAATCGATCCTATTACATTTGGAAAATAAAAGAGCTTAAAGTGTGAAATATAATGTTCTCAGTGCCACTGCACTCAACAAGACAGCCCAAACAGCGTAACAAGCAACGTGCTACATTTTACATAGGGGAGTAATGATACACGTTTTCGTATTGAACCGTTCGGTACGAGGCTTTCGGTTCGGTACGCATTACAACCCGAACGATTCGTTGGACTAATCGATCCTATTACATTTGGAAAATAAAAGAGCTTAAAGTGTGAAATATAATGTTCTCAGTGCCACTGCACTCAACAAGACAGCCCAAACAGCGTAACAAGCAACGTGCTGTCTGCCCCACGATAACCTCCCCTTGCTGGGGTGCGTCGAAGGATGACCATCTTGTATCAACGATAGCCAGAGATATTGTCAAAAACATCAATTATTGGCAATATTAAGAGGATTTGGAATTTCCAATTAATGTAGGCCTGATACATTCTTATTTTTATTAGGCCTATTATTATTATGAAGTTACTTGTATTATTAAATTAAAATTACAATTAATTTGCCCCGCAATAATTTCCGCATAACTGATGCGCTGCGAGGATAACAAAATATATTTAGCCTACTCCTCAATTAAAATGTTTTTAAAAACGGTCTTTTAAGGTCTACAATGAATTATATGCCTATAATTAAAATATTAACACTGCAGTCATCGATAAAAATCAATTAAATAAAAAGCTTTTATTCCAAGCACTGACTTTAAAAAACAACCCGTTTAACACAAAATTCTCTTTTTTTTTTCACTATGTATGGGCCACAAGGGAAATATTAAGGGAATAAATTAAAACAGTTAGTTATATACCGTTATCAGCATATGTTGAAGTAGATTAGTCTCTGAGAGAGAATGTGGCGTCAGATGCCGAAAGCTCCGTCATTACTCCGTCAGTCCATTTTTACTTTCACTTTCTGCATATAGTGAATTGACTGAGATTAAGACGTTCACCGGCATAACTCTTGCGCAAAGTTTGCACGTTGCCTGTGTGATATCCATTGGCTCGCCTTCATAAAACAGAAATATTTCCAACATTGCGACATAACCAATTAGCCCCGTACCGAACATACCGAACCGAACCGTGACACCACTGTGTCGTATCAAACCAAACCGTGAATTTTGTGAACTGTTACACCCCTAATTTTACATAATTCATATTTGACACTTGTAATGTTATTTTATCATGAACAAGTAACTGTAAATGGGTTAGCCTTTATCATACAAGAATAAATTACAGTAATGCATTCATATGAGGTGAAACACCGTTACCTGTCATGAATAATTATGTTTATCTCCAACAGATTCTCATCCAATGGAATTCACAGCCAAGGAGTCCAAACCCCCGGCCTCCACCTCCGCAAGCCCGTTTGAGGGGTGGAAGTCCACACTCCCGGCCTCCACCCCCGCAGACCCATTCGAGGGGAGGGCCACACTCCCGGCCTCCACCCCCGCAGACCCATTCGAGGGGAGGGCCACACTCCCGGCCTCCACCCCCGCAGACCCATTCGAGGGGAGGGCCACACTCCGGACCTCTACCCCCGCAGGCCCGTTTGAGGGGTGGAAGTCCAAACCCCCACCCCATAAACCTACTTGAGCCGATGGAGTCCAAACTACCACGCACCTCCCTCCCCTTACTTATTTGAGCTGAGGGTGCCCAAACAATCCCGCCACCCACCCTGTGATTTACTTAAACTGTTAATTTTGAATAATCACAATGTACTAAATTAATATGTTTGACAGTTAAAAATGTTTAAATTGTTCGTTGTTTGCACAGATTTGCCCATCTGTTTGTAAGCTTGGCTTGTCTTAGGTTTTTGTTTGTATTTTGATTACTTTTTTTGAATCATTCAAATTTATGAGTGTATGTTAATTTAAAACCTAAATAAATTATTCCACAACAAATCACCCAAGAAACACCTGAGCTGACAAAACTAGTACAAATGAATTTGTTTGATTTAACTTGACAGCTAATCATCTCTCCACATGGTGCTTGTTCGTGTTAGAAAAGTTTAAGCCTTAGAGAAATGCAATCAATAATAATGATAATAGTATAATAACAATCTGTCATTCATGTGACTGGCACACAGACCTGAAGGGGAAACATCCATTTTGAACTGCTGCACAGGCATGTCAATTTTCTATCTGTTTCAAGCCACAAATATTTAATTACCTCTGAACAAACTGCAAGTTTTGCAGACTTGTGATCCCTAAAGCGTTTGGTTAATGGTGAATATTGACCTACAATATTCAGCTCCCGCTGTTAGCCGGTGATAGTCGCTGCATTTGGGTTAAAACAACAGAATTATTTATTGTGTAATGTGGCAAGAATACAAGGAGACCTGGGTTGCACTGTCTGTTCGTTCACACGCATCTATTGGATTGGCAGCTGCCTTTAGCGGTATCTTTACTGATTACCTCCATTGTTCAAAGCATTCGGCACAATCATCTGTGCGTGACGTCACTTCCAAATACAAACACGCCCTATAGTATAGTACCGCCCCTGACACTGATTGACAGGTTTCTGTGTAAGGCATCGGAAATTCAAATGCTAAAGGAATTGCAATTCCATTTGAGTTTTGGCAGGTAAAATGCATGACACAGTGAGAGTGAAAAAGCAGACGTGGTAATTAATATTGCTATTTAAATATGACAGGCTCATTACTCGTAAGACATGGGAAAGTACAGTTGCAAATGGACTTTGCTTTTCCATTTCAAATTTGTCAGTCACTGCGTTCGCAAAAGCGAAAACGCAAACAGTAATGCAAGATTTGCAAATGCATTTGGATTATGTCTCTATTTATGCATCCACATATTGAAAACGCAATTGAAAATACAATTTGCAATTCCTTTTGAAAATTATCGGGAATATCCTTCCATACAGATGAGTATAGGATATACTGTACATGCAATGCACTAAATTGCACTTTAAGCATTTTCTTTTTAATGGTTTTCTATGGGAAAAGTTTAAATTTCAATGAAGTTTCAATCATGATCCAGTTATGATATTGTAGTGATTTTTATTGTGCCATAAGGTAGTTGGCAAAAGTACGGAAATCAGTTAGGATGCATCCTGCTAAGAGATAATCATGGTAATTTCAGAGTATTTTAACATTTCAGCCAACCAAACTGGAATCATTCAGTCATCTAAAAAAAATCTAGTCATTAAAAAACCTTGAAACAATCCCTGAAACAAACAAGTTAGAGTAAGTCACTCCCCACAGAAACACCTGTTTCACAAGCATGTCATCAGGAAGATATCAGGAAGCAACTCTCCAGTATAGAAGAAGGAACTCGACTGTCAAGCTGCAGTGCGTATTGTCTTTCTGTCTGTGTTCATACAGTGAAATGGCAGAAGCCAGTATTTCATGTGCTGAGGATCAGTTCTGCTGTCCAGTGTGTCTGGATCTGCTGAAGTTTCCAGTGACGATTCCCTGTGGACACAGTTACTGTATGAGCTGCATCTCAGGGTCTCTGGCTGTACTGATTCCAGCAACATCCTAGTTAATGAACACAGTATAGGATGTAAACATTACAGCAAAATATTTTCTCACTGACTGCTCTCAACCTTGGAATACACATGAATACAAACAAGTAATAATAGCTAAAAAGGGAATAGAATATATAGCAAAAGAATGAGATCACCGAGCCAGTTGTGCGGCCTCGTACTCAGCGGGAGAGACATCCACCAGCCTGCTTAAGTGATTATGACGTTGGGTATGAACCTAGCCACATTCCAGCTTCCAGTGCAGATGTCAGCAGTATGATGTCAGTGGCTACCATTCCAGCTGCACAACTAGACGAACTGCCTGTGCCTTGCAGAATACCTTCAGCACATTCGTCTGCAAGTTCACGTCACAGCCAACTGCCCAGAGTCGTCTTGCTTCACTTTCCGCTGAGTATGATCAAAAACTTGACTTAATCCGAGTCGGGGGACGACTCCGCCGAGCTGAGGGCCTAGATCCAGACACAATACATCCCATAATACTAGACCCTAAACATCAGATTACAATGCTCTTAATCAAAGAATATGACAACCAGCTTCTGCATCCAGGTCCAGAACGGGTCTTAGGTGAAATCAGACGCAAGTACTGGATCCTGCGTGGCAGAGAATCCATCAAGAAACACCAGTACAATTGTGAGACTTGTCAAAAGTGGAGAGCAAGTCCAGTAATTCCGAAGATGGCAGACTTGCCCCCCTCATGACTAAGACTGTACAAACCACCTTTCTGGTCCACTGGTATAGACTGTTTTGGCCCTTTCACTATTAAGATAGGCAGATGCACAGAGAAGCGCTGGGGCATCATATTCAAATGTATGACAACAAGTTGCATACATCTTGATCTTTTAGAGATCATGGACACGGATGCCTTCCTGATGGCGTTAAGACGATTTGTATCACGTCGTAGTAAGCCATATGAGATACTGGCTGATAGAGGCACAAACTTCAGAGGAGGAGCCACTGAACTCCAGGAAGTCTTCGCATCGTTACAAGGTCCACTTGAAGAACATCTAGCCGGCCAGGAAATTGCTTTCCAGTTTAACCCTCCACATGCTCCACACTTTGGAGGAACCTGGGAGCGAGAGGTACGGTCGGTGAAAACTGCTCTTCGGGTAGTCTTGGGCAATCGAACAGTGACTGAAGCAGTCTTGCATACAGTGTTGGTAGAGGTCGAGGGAATCCTCAACTCTAAGCCACTCGGTTACGTTTCATCAGATGTTGCCGACCCAGACCCTGTCACACCGAATCTGTTACTGATGGGTCGTCGGGATGCCTCACTCCCACAAGCAATCTACTCATCTAGTGATCTGTTAGGGAGAAGACGGTGGCGACACAGCCAAATTTTAGCCGATCACTTTTGGGTAAACTTTATCCGGCATTACTTACCAAGCCTACAGCCCCGCCAAAAATGGCACAAGGACACTGCCAATCTGAGTACTGAACAGATCATCATGATAGTTGATCCACAGTTGCCCCGAGCTTTGTGGCCTATTGGCAGAGTGACTAAAACATTTGCAGGAGTAGATAATCGTATACGCACTGCAGAAGTGCAAGTGAAAGGGCGCACTTATCTATGGCCTGTTGCCCGGTTAGTTAAGTTGCCATCGTGGGAGGATGAGGAAGAAAATAGTAACTGACACTGAGACTTTCCTAAATAATTACAAATTTAGATACTAAATTTGGGGGCGGCAATGTAGGAAAGTCTTTTCCTTTAGTTTCACTTTAATATTTTACCACTAGAGGGCGCATATCTTTCATCTTACTGATACCTATACACCTTCCCTTTAAGACACTGCGTTTTATACACCACACGCGCTGGGTCAGAGTGAGCATCCGAACTTTAAAGTTGTGTGGGTTCATGCAGAAAAGTAAGTTTATTTTGCATTCTCTAGCAGAGCAAGACGTGCTTGATTTTGACTGAACGGTTCGGTCGGCCCATCTCGGGACCAGGCTTAAGGACCAAATGCTTAACATATATTTATTATTAACATTATTATTATTATAACCATAGATAAATCGTGCAAGTGATAAAAACCTGTCCTATGCGCTGTTGGCCCGTAAAAACAATATATATATATATATATATAGAAAAAATCTGACCGGCCCACATTAAACAAAATGGTCCGGCCCCTCTGGCATTTGCCAGAATTGCCAGATGGCCAATCCGCCCCTGACTGCAGGAGATGATCTGCTCTCAGCATGATAAAATGCTGGAAATTTATTGCCATACTGACCAGCGATGTATCTGTATGATGTGTTTGGTTGATGAACACAAAAATCTGACACTGCATCAACTGTAACAAATGAAGAGAGAGAGAGAAACAGGTGAACTGAACAACTTTTACAGTTAATCTTGATGTTGTCGTGATAGCTACATAATTAATAATAATTGTAAAATTGAGGCGTGTGTTTTTACTGGCACAAACATGCACAGGAATGTAGAGAGAGGGTGTAAAGGAAGTGTGAGCAGAAAGGAGCAAAAAAACAAAAAAATACTTAAGTGCCTCATCAGTGTCCTTGCTCAGTGGAAGTAGCACAGATAGAGTTGCAGGTCTTTACCCGAGTTTCACACGGGGAGGGCTGAATGTCTTTTTTCGAACAGAAACAAAATAAATACGCAGCTTATCGACTCTTGATTGAATACAGCTTTAGACGACTGGCCAATTAGCACACCAAAAAGCATGCGAATGGCTCAAATCGAAACTATTGCGGGACAGTTCACCACTTAAATGCAGTAAACAAGCAAAACAAATAACAAAAGCCTGTTGACAATCTGTGGAACTGGATGGTTTAGCTTCAGAAAATAAACAATTTGTAGGCTCTGATTTTTTTTTTTTAATCTGTAACAAAAAACAAAAAAAAAAAAGGAAAAAAAAGCTCTAAACTCTTAATACAAAGGGACATTATGGTTCTAAGTAGAACTGTTATTAAGTGTACAGAACCTTCAAAAAAAAATTTTTTTTTTTTTTTACATTACAACAGAGCATGTTCGTGTCCATCTCCTTATGGACAGTCACCTCATCTTCTGATAGAAATGCCCATGAAAGTAGCACACCATGTCACAAACAACTCATTCAAATTGGACATTCCACAAGAATGTGGGAAAAATAGGTTTCACAGGAAATGGAAATATACATGAATATTACAGTCAAAGTTGATGAACAAATTATGACCCAGAGTTACAAGCATAAACGTAATTTAGCCCATTACAGTGCTCGAGAACATCTCGCTAAGTTTGGAGTCTCTGAAACTGTTGATATCCAAACAGTTTTTGTGCATAAATTAACCAATAAGATATCTAAAACA